CACGCGACGGCCTCCGGATTTGTCCCGCAGTCCTTGACAGGCTTGACTCTCAATCTTCAATCGTTTGCTCTATCGCTATACCGGAAGCGCCAAGAAGAAGCTCCGACCTATAGCTCATCGGAATAACCGGGTCAGACATCCATTCTGTTAATGTGCTGCCATGCGGCAGTTCCGAGACGATTGACTTCCTCCTTCGGCCTGTTGCCGCTGGCCAGTAGTTGAGCATCGGCGTGTCCATGTGAGGTCAAGTCCACAGGTTCATGACTGCTGATACTGACTATTTCTTCATGGATCACAGTTCATGCGTTGCATTCAGCTGTATGCTTCTGGCATTGTCTTCCATCTCAAGTGATCATGACGCGCACAAGCTGATGACTGGGAGAAACATGGAAGAGCGTTTAAAGATCTCATCCACCCCAAACGCATGCAATTATCATTGAACTGTTGGGAGGGGTCAAAAGATCCAACTCGGCCTTTCTACGCGATATGTTCTCGAGAATTTGTCGATCCCATCAATTAATTACGTTGGCTGCTCGACTCGGAAGCTTGCACAACGTCAACTGGATTCCTCGTAAAGGTTTTCTAGAACGGGTAGCTAATATCAGAGGACACGTATCGTATGTGATTTCTCTACTCACGGAGGCAACGGAGCTAAAGTTTCATTGATAGGCCTTCGGAGGCGAGTGCCAGTCATGTATATGGGCGTTTGGGGTACACAGCTATTTTCTATCCCGTGGTCACTGGTGCGAGCACGCATGTCCCTCCAGATTTGGGAAAGAGTGGACTGAACATAGATTGCTCTCTAAACTAGGTTCGTTTCATTAAAGTCCTCGAGCATGTGTGCGACAGCAAGCAAGTTATTTTAAAGTATGATCTTTGAAAAATTCCCTGGTTCTTCGACCTGGACCATCCAGCTGTCTTTCACATGAACAATCCCCTAGATGACGTCGCGAGGCCGTACTTCTGCTACATACCAATACATCTGGTGACCGCCACTCTCAACTTGCTTTCTCGTCACGGTTAAGCATTGCTTGATTTGTACTCTGCTCCACATCTAGCGTCTTGAAAAAGCCAGCTGACAGAACATGACGCTCTTGTACACGTATCGACCCAACGGAAAGGTATATAAAGATCCTGAAGACCAGTCTTTTCACCAGCAACTGCGGTCGCAATGTTCTCCATGCAACCTCTGCTACGTACGGTCGGTACAATATTGGCATTGACGACATATGTCTCTGCTCTTGGGACATCATGCACTGCACCTCTCGGAGCCGGAACCTCTGGACCCAATGATCCGTTCTGGATGCAAAATATCAAGCATCAAGGGAAGGCCCCTCTCAATTCGTTTGGGAGTGGCTACACGGTTTTCCGGAGCGTCAAGGTACTTGTAACCTCTATGCTATGACTCCGCAATTTTCTCAATATGATGCCAGGACTACGGTGCTGTAGGAGACGGAGTCCACGACGATACCTCTGCTATCAAGTCTGTCTTTCTCCATTGACGACGAGATCATGATATTGAACCAACTGGTTGTGTATAGTGCTGCAATTAGTGCCCAGGGGCGCTGTGGAATAGGCTGTGATTCATCGACGTATGGATTTCATATTTTGTCTTGGTAATGTGGAAGCTCATGCTATGATAGCACCTCGCCTGCTATAGTCTACTTTCCACAAGGGTAAAATTCCTCTCGTGTGGTTTAAGCCTTTCGTCGAGCTTACATTTCTCTAGGACATATCTCGTTTCTGCACCAATTATTCCATACTACTACACTCAGCTTATTGGAGACGGAAAGGTACCCCCAACTCTCCTGGCGTCTGCTTCATTCAGTGGTATGGCAGTCATCGGTGAGTCAACATACTATCTTCCGAGTGGTCCACCCTCAAATTCTTCACAGACGCCGACCCATATATCCCAGGAGGCGGTGGTTCCCAGTATTGGGTTAACCAAGATAATTTGTCAGTCTCGTTGACTCGAAGATTGCACTTAACGCTGACCGCCATGCAGCTTCCGTTCAATCAGAAATTTTGTGATCGACGTCCGGCAGTGCGTACAACTTCGTTCACAGCTTCTATGCTTCTCGTTTATCGCTCATTGTCAGGGTTCCTGCTACGAACTCGCAAGGGACGGGAATCCACTGGCAAGTCTCCCAGGCCACTTCTCTGATTAATATTGTCGTGCAAATGTCTACCGCTTCCAACACGGCTCATCAAGGTATCTGGATGGAGAATGGAAGGTGAGTACATAATGACAAGCTACCGCAAGTAGTCCGAGAGTAACCCGCTACGAAGTGGTGGATACATGGGCGATCTTGTTTTCAACGGCGGTGAGTCAATAGAATAATATCAACACACGTTATATACTCAAGCTCTTCTCCAGGAAAGTTCGGAATATGGGGTGGAAACCAGCAGTGAGCTTATTTGTGTAAAGAGTTAATTCAGCAAGTTGTTGATATATCTTTTTCCCTAAGGTTTACGCTTCGTAATGTTACCGTTAATAACGCTCAGACGGGCATATACGCTTTGTGGAATTGGGGTGAGTGCACAGCGATTTTAAATCGTCCCTTGTTTAGATACTTATACATATGCAGGATGGACATATCAAGGCGTCAACTTCAACAACTGTCAAGTTGGATTTGATATCGCCACGGGAGGCCTGTCGAATAGTGACCAAGTGAGTAGTCGATTCCTCTCGCCAGCGTGTCCACTCTTACATGTGGCATCCCCTCAGACGGCAGGAGCATTGGCGATTATCGACTCTGTAGCAACGAATACTCCTATCTTTGCTCGTACTTCCAAAGCTAGTAACGGCGCTTTGGGAGGGTCAATCGTACTCAACAACGTCAAACTGAACAATGTTCCTGTTGCTGTTGGTGTGGTCGGCGGTGCCACGGTGCTCGCTGGTGGAACCACAACGATTGCCTCATGGGGCCAAGGCAATGTTTTCAAAGGAACTTCCGGCACGCGTGCATTTACCCAGGGAAATATCCCTGCACCTAGCAAGGCAGGAGGTATACTTGACGGCAATGGAAGAATCGTCGGGAGAACGCACCCTCAGTATGCGGCATATGCAGCGAGCCAATTCGTCAGCGTCAGAGACCATGGAGCGGTGGGAGATGGTGTCACGGACGATACGGCGGCGATTACGAACATACTCAACACTGTATGTCGTTGTGGCTCTGTTTGTTTGACTGGGCCTTTCTCACTTTTAATTTGTCAGTATTCGGGCTGCAAGATCATCTTCTTTGATGCCGGCATATATGTCGTCTCGAGCACCATCACCATTCCCGCAGGAACGCAGATGGTCGGAGAGGCGTGGACGGTGCTTGCTGCGAAGGGTGCCGCCTTCCAAAACCAGAACAGTCCCAGCGCAGTCTTCAAGGTTGGCGCTACCGGATCGCAAGGCATCTTGGAAATTACGGATATCCTATTTACGACGATTGGACCTGGTCAGCTCAAACGTAATAACTTTTTAATTATCATCGTTCTCACTACTCTACAGCTGCGGGAGCCATTCTCTTGGAATGGAATGTGCACGATCCCGCTGGAACTCAAGCAGCGGCTGGAATGTGGGACTCCCATATCAGGTTTGATTCCCAGTAATTGCTCTGTTCAATGATTGACATGACCAATTACGAAGATTGGGCGGTGCAGCTGGAACAAACTTGCAAGGCAACAACTGTCCTTCAAGCGGGTCTGGGGGAACAGCGGCGTGCTCGGCAGCTTTCCTGAGCCTGCATTTGACAACGCAAGCTACTGCATACATCGAGGTTGGTTGCAGTGACGCTACATATCGGCTTGCCGTGCTATTATTGATTGGCTTCCAATAATAAGGGCACTTGGATCTGGTTAGCCGACCATGATATGGATACTCCCGGAAATGCCCAGGTATCGCTCTATTCAGGAAGAGGAATACTCTCTGAATCGAAAGGCCCTGTTTGGCTGATTGGGACATCGGGTACGTTCGATGTGCTGTGCTCGATTCGAGTTGACTAACAGATTTTCTCAGTTGAGCACCACGCGCTCTACCAATACCATGTGGTCAACGCAGCTAATCATTACATGGGTCTCATACAAACAGAAACGGTTTGTTTGATTTTTTATCCTTTGATTATTTCGCTAATTTTCATAACAGCCATATTATCAGCCAGACCCCGCCTCCCCTTCACCATTTAGTGTCAATACCGCCTACAACGACCCTGCGCCCTATGCAAATAGTCCTTCGGCGTGGGCTCTCTCCATCATAAACTCCAACAATATCCTTGTATTTGGTGCCGGTCTATACAGCTTCTTCGATGTGAGTGCCCGTGGATTCTCGTGATAGTATTACACTCTCATGCCATGCCAACACAGAATTATTCTCAAACCTGCCTCACGCCGGCCGTTTGCCAAACTCAGATTGTTAATGTTGACACAGCATCGACGGGAGTCAATATCTACAGCTTATCAACTGTTGGGACGACCTTCCAGATCAGCGTGAACTCTGCCGGTGTGATCAATCAATCCGGAAACGTCAACGGATTTGCGTCGACGGTGACCAGCTGGAGTCAATCATAAAGTAATCGGAACTTGTACATCTCATATATATGACTGTAAATTTTTTCAGAATTCCACTTTGAGCTGGAATCGAACCAGCGGCATGTTGGACCTGGTCTCGACTCTCAGCACAGCGGGATACAGTGTGGGATCTTACATGTAAGAGGACGGCGCTGGTCACTGCAGTGCACATTCACATACTCCTATGGGAGACCTGGACTTGAAAGTGGTGCTTCTTTTACAGAAATTCTACGAAGTCCCCGTGGGAAGTGGACTTACGTTTTTTATTATAATTTATAAAAGTACGGGAACCGTCCCAAAGACTGTACACGAGTCTGTATTCTCCCATGGGTAGACTTCCAGAACGCTGTTGATAACAAAATTTAATCAACAATGAACATAACAGTCTAGATAATATACGCAACCGTCAACGTGAACGAGCAAAATAACACATTCCAGAGCAAAAATGTCGGTAGCAGGAATCGAACCTGCGGCTCTTCGGTAATTACGTAATGCATAAGCACAGCCACAACGAAGTGATTTAACCCCTAATCGATACCGACTACACTACGACTGTTGCAACTACTATATGTATAGGAATTTTCTTAACAGTTGAGATTCGAGCCAAGTTTGAGCTAAGTCCTTTTTATGGTTACCACTGGAATACGACTATCTAATAACCATAACCTACTCTGCCGCTTCATTAAATTCATAAACAATCGCCGCCACTGTGGAAGGTATCGGGACTACCGTACAGTCATCACGTATCGTTCACCGACATTATCTCTGGCCAAAGTTGAACCAATGCATTTTCATTGTCCTTTGGTCATCCTTGCATGATTCGAGTTGTTTGAGAACGGCACGCCATTGAGAAGGCCTTATTGTGATCTCAAAACCTTTTTCACCAGACTTCCTGTGGATCGCAACAACAAGCATCATACCGAAACAACTCTAGTGTCAGCCAAAAAAAAATGGGTAACCAAAGAGGCGTCTGATCGAATAGGACGTATTCGATCTCCTGTGAATCAGAACGGTATAAATGCTGATATAGTTTCATTGCTGACCGACCTAGCTTTTCCCGAAGATTTCGAGCACGCCTACTAACGGCCTTCTCGAAATTTACCCCCTCTCATAACATGTGGCATAGCGATTTCAGCGTATGGCTCCTCGTTTTTTGTCAAGCAGCAACGAATTACGCCGCACCAACAACCACACCCCTCCAACCACAGGTCCTGTATACAAGTTCGGATCCAAATGATGTACTATGGCACCCCGCCTCCCCTGCCGTCCCTCAACCTGAACGCGCTGGCCTCGGCGCGCCCGTACTAGGTCCACAGAACATCCCGATAGAGCTCCAAAATCCGGATCTCCTCGCAGGTCCGACGACAGACAACGGGAATATCAAGAACTTCAAGTGGTCGATGTCTGCCAGCCACACTAAATTGAAGCATGGGGGCTGGACGAGGCAACAAAATGGTCAGTCCTGTCATTTCCGCCAATATTCAACAATACGTATTTGCGACTGATAATTCCTGCAGTGAACGCAATGCCCATCGCGCAAGATTTGGCTGGTAAGTCCGTAGTTTGGAGTGAACCATTACATCCCTAAATTATATTTTGAAGGGGTAAACATGCGTCTCGCAGCTGGATCCATACGGTGGGTTGCAAACATGGGATTACTTATGTTGTCTAAATCTATCACTCAAGAGAACTACACTGGCACACCGCAGCGGAGGTACGTTTTCTCCTCACTACACAAACTCTCGTTATTTGATGATCATACGGCTTGAACAGTGGGGCTATGTTTTGCAGGTATTTGCTGTTGGAGTACCAGCAAGCGGTATCTAGACTGACCTTTTCTGCAGGGCGATATGCGAGTTAGTACTATCACTCCTGACGGGGAGGTGTGGGTTGGGGACGTCGTAAGTATCGGTGAACCTTCAACTCTTCCTTCGCACTCACCGTTCCACAGTCCGAAGGTGATATTTGGTACTTCCCCGCTGGAAATCCTCATTCCCTTCAGGCCAAGGATACCAACCTGCAAGGCGTTGAAATTTTACTGATATTCGATGAAGGAAACTTTTCGGAAGACTCGACATTCCAACTTACAGACTGGCTCGCGCATGTGCCAAAGTCTGTGGTGGCGAAGAACTTCGGGTTGACCGGCGACCTTCAGGCGTTTGACCACATACCCCAAAACGAACTCTATATATTCCCTTGTGAGTTAGACTGGTCTAAACTACCATGAACGATCGATCGAAATATTATTACAGCCTTACCTCCTCCCCGGGATGTGGAAGACGACAAGGTCGTCCCAAATAATACCCCTTTTCCATACACCTACCAATTTTCAAAGGTGATCCCGGAGACGAAACCAGCTGGAACAGTCAAAATTGTCGATAGTCGGACGTTCCAAGCTGCTCAGAAAATCGCTGCTGCGGAAGTCCGGCTTGAAGTGGGAGGACTTCGGTGCGTGCAGTTCCGTTTTGGCTGCATTCATGACTCCTTAACGAAGTTCTGACAGAGAATTGCATGTTAGTTGATCAGCGTGATGTCCATAACTTCAGTTGACCATACCTTATCTAGTGGCATCCCACTCAACCCGAATGGACCTTCTTTTTGTAATCATTTGTTCCCTTTTGAACAGATTGTGGTGCAGGCTGATGCGAGGTATCTTTTCAAGATCCGGCGAAGCTAGAATAACCTTGTTCGCTTCTCAAAGCAACGCCGCTACCTATGATTTTTCTGTCAGCTATTCATCTTCACCATCCAAGCCATCCCTATTGTATTAACGCTGGATTATGTCCAGGCTGGTGATGTTGCATATATTCCTCCATCATACGGTACGCAACTTATTGCATTATACAATGCTCGTCAATCCTGAGCATATTTGCAGGACATTATATTGAAAATATCGGCAACACTACACTGGTATTTATTGAAGTCCTCAAAACAGGTAAGCCAGAAATGATGGAGGGCTACGTTTATCGCGCTGATAAGATTTCTCCAACCTGCTAGACCGCTTTCAGGATATTTCGCTCGCTCAGTGGCTAGCTTTGACTCCCTCAAACCTTGTCAAGGCACATTTGGGTCTCTCGGATGAAACATTGGTGCACTTGAGCAAAAACAAAGCAACCCTAGTTAAGTAGCACGATCTTTTGGCTCGCTGAGCGCACAACTTTGGGATATATTTATCCAGTCCAAACAATCGCTACAAATATAATTACACGGCTTTTCTTTCGTTCGTGTAGGTAGGTTCACGGTACAAAGATATGTGCAAATGTCCAATTTGTCAAATCGACTTTAATTCCGACGGAGGACTAAAGTTCTCAGAATCCGACTGGAAAGCGAAATGGTCAGCAAAGCTATGCATGGGTAGAGTCTGAGGTCAACACTAACAACCGCCACCACCGCCGAACTTCTTCAGGCCTTCCTGCACGCCCTCACCGATGCGGCTAGCAGTCGAGTCATCCTGTCGTTGTCAAATGGATCAACAAAAGCTCATCTGTTTAAACAGCACTCGGATGACTCACAATGTTGTACCCAGCCTTCGACGCCACTTCCTGGACACCCTTGTTGATCCAGTTGTTACCGCCGCTGGTCGAATTGTTGTTCGAGGAGTTGTTGTTGGAGGACCCGTAGCTATCGTCGTTGTTGCTGTTGTTGTTGTTCGGGGACTTGTAGGAATCTTGGTTGGACGATCCGTACGAGTTGTTGTTGGAAGAGTCGTTGTTAGACGATCCGTARGAGTTGTTGTTGGAAGAGTCGTTGTTAGACGATCCGTAAGAGTTGTTGTTGGAAGAGTCGTTGTTAGACGATCCGTACGAGTCGTTGTTGGAAGATCCGTAGGAGTTACTGTTTGCAATGTTGCCGGAGTTCTTCGATCCGTAGGAATCATCGCTGTTGTTCGAAGATCCGTACGAGTTGTTGGAATTAGAGTTGGAGTTGGAGTTGTTGGACCCATATGAGTCGTTGTTGTTGGACCCGTAGGAGTCGTTGTTTCCCGTGTTTCCCGTAGCGTTCGATCCGTAGGAGTCGTCGTTGTTCGAGGAACCGTACGAATTGGAGTTAGAGTTGTTGCTCTTAGTGGACGACCCGTAGGAGTCGTTGTTCCCTCCATTGTTGTTGTTGGACGAGCCGTAGGAGTCGTCGTTGTTGTCGTTGTTGTAGGACATGGTGGCTGAGAGGAGGTTTGGAGGGGTAGAAGATGATACGAAGAGTGCTAGGGAAGTTGGGACTGATCTGCTACGTCTGCAATGGGCGGGTTTTATATCTAATCGCGGCGCGTCAGGGGCAAAAGAAGACCGTGGAATCCATCGCGTCGTCGCATTGGGTTGATGACCTCATCGCAAGATGGAGGAGCGCGGCAGCGCATGGCGAGTGGATCGGAAAGCCCAATTCGCGTGCCGCGGCGCTACCTGGGTGCGCATCCTGACATCGCTTTTGGACGAATGTTCGAGATGGGCGGTGCGTCTGACGCGATTTAGGGCTCCACGGGCCAAGGCCATACCGAAAGAGCTTTGAGCGACGCGACATTTGACAATTGGAATGACCGAGCAGTGAAAGCCGTGCCGGACGCGTGATCACGGATGCTATCATTGCACGACGGATATTCCGAGAACAAGTCGGCGAACCATTGTAGTGACGATTATCTGCGAGCTAGAAGCTAGAGGCGGTGAGTCAGTACAGCCTAGTACCTCCTAGTACAGCACATCAGAGCACATCGTTAAGATAATTTGAAAATTCCAAGGCTAATTCCAAGACTCAAAAAGGCCAAAGCCAAACCGCAAAGCACCCGAGACGGAATATCGGTTCCTCGAATGTTTTGTCTCTCGAGATACATGACCTTGACGAGGGCTCACCAATCATTCCTCCCGTCTAAAGAGCAATAAGATAGCAGAGGCTGTGTGTCCAAAGGGGCCTGGAACGTCGGTGCACAGCGCGAAGGTTGACGTCGCGCTAGCCCTGCATAGTAGTCGATCAACGGAAGCAAGATTACAGCCATACTCCGACGGAATTTCATATTAATGGCCGATGCGTTGACTTCCGCAATCACTGCATCAGCAATACGTCGACAGATCGATACTCATTTGACCTTGAAGGCGCAGGATTAGTTCACACTTGTCAAGATAAATAGGGGGAAAGCTATTACTGGAAGATATATTTAATCGTCCGGCCAGGATAGTATCCGACGCGGGGTCGTATATGAAAGGATACGCAGCCTTTGGTTTGCCTTTGACTTCGACAATGACCAGTGGGGCACGTTGCCAATTTATGAAAATCTGTTGAGAAAGAGAGTCACAAGTAGTTGTATCCGGTAGGCATTCTGACTTGCTTAATCGACGAAGTCGAATGAAGGACATCTATATGAAGTCTTGAGATGGATAAGAACCGTCTGCGAGTGGTAATACACAGGTGATTTATTTTGCATCGGCGATGGCGCCACAATGAGGACATCTTCGGCTCTCTTCGTCAATCATCCACTTCTCAATAACTGGCTTCAGCTGAGTTCCAAGGTCGGTGACATGAAATGTTTCCTCGCGGATAACTGTTGGTTCGGCGT